AATACCAATATATTTAATTTTTATTAAATAATTTTTGCAAACTCTAAAGTCTTAGTTAATAGAATACTATCTGTTATAATGAGACCAGCTTGAAATGCAATTTTTACCCAAAGGTTAAAGCTTTTTCAATAAGAGGAAAGGTTATCTTTTTTTATATTTTAAACTAGCTCTATATGATTCAGTATATATAGCAAGCTAGTGACTTTTTTCTTTTAAAATATCTTTCATTAACTTCATATTTATATGCTAAGTCTTTTTGCTTTAATAAAAAGGATGAAGTTTTTTTTAAACAAATCTCTTTTTTTTATATAGTAGTAAGAGACTTTGTTTTTTTTTTAAAAGTTCATTATTAGGTTTCTTTTATTTCTTTAAGCTTACTTTCAGTAATCTTATATTAAAGAAAGAAATAAGAAAAAATAATTATAAAAGATGTGAAATAAAGAAGCATTTAAAAAAATTGAAACTTTATATGAAATATTTTCATTATCTTTATTAAGGTATAAAAAATTACAAAATTTCATATACAAAGTTTATTTTTTCTACTAAAATTTATTTATGTAAATCTTTTTTATATTAAAAAAATTTCATATTAAATAAATGTCTTATACAAAAAGGTATTTATATCATACATCTTTACACATTTAAATTCATTAAATGATATATAAATTTTAGTTTAATAAGTTCAGTATAATAAGGTTTTTTTATATTTAAAAGCCTGTAGATCAATTATATTATAAAATTTATTATATCAAAATTCATTATAAAAATAGTTGATTGTACAAAAAAAAATGGTAATATAAAGTTAAAATTATATTTAATTAATTATCATTACTAACTACTATATAAATTATAATAGAAATTACTTTTTTCAGATTTTTTACTGATCAAATAAAACTCATAATAAGAATTCTTTATTAATATCAATAAAAAAATAATCCATCAATTTAAAATGCTGATAAATTTGTCAATTTAATAGAAAGCTATAATCCAAACTTAATGGTTTTTATTTTATTTGAATTTATAAATCCTAGTGAAAAATTAAGAAGAAATGACAGCAATTAAAATAAAAAGTTATGTTACTTTGTTATCAGATAAAAGCTCTTGAAAATAAATAAGTTAGTAGTATACAAACAGCAATTGGATTATATATGACTGGCATTAGTATATTAGTTGTAAACATCAATATACTTTCAAATATGAGTATAAGTATAATATATCAAACTATATATAATAATAAAAAAAATTGTAAATATTTATGAAAGAATTATTCAAGAATATATTTCAAATAATGTTTGTATTTGTCATTTATTTATCTTTAAAAATATTTTAATAAATTAAATTTTTTAGTAAAACCAAATTTAAATTCTTAATGTGAATGATTATTATGATTTGCATAATCTTGTATTTCAAGTATAACATCTATTAATTATATTGCAATTTTTTTACTTAACATAAATGATATTCCTCTAATTCCATTATTTACATCAAATTTATCTAATATTTATAATCCAAATGGTATTGATGCCAAGTTGCTTAAACAGGTACTTGATTCATAATATATGTTTAATTTTGTAATCAGTTATAATACATAAAAATCCACTTAGCATTTAATAACTGATATTATGAAATTGAATGAATCTAATCTTATAGAAACTCTAGTTATATATCAGATTTATCAGAAAAAATATGTTCAAAAATTTAATATAACTTAATTAGTTGACTTTATATCAACAGATTTAAAAAATAGGAATAATTATTTAAAAGCATTGATTAAACTATTTAAGATATATAATTTTATTACAAATAATTTACAATAATTATTAAATAATTTATTTACATTAAAAAGGTTACCTGAAGCAAAATTTTATTTAACAAATTATTGGATATCTGTTCCTTCTTATTTTCTGGGTCAATTATATATTCGAAAAGCAATAGTACAAAATTCAAATATAGCAATCCTTGTCTAATTCCAATAGAAATATTAAACTTAGTTCCATTTTTTTTCCTATTGCATGTTTCTCTCAATACTCATGAAAGTTGATTTTTGATTTTCACCCATTTTTAATGAATTATATCAAGAAATATTTGGAAAAAAACAAAACATGAATGCAAGAATAAAACCTTAGCACATATACCTTCTACTTTATCTAGTACATGCAGAATGGGTTATTATAAAATCTTATATTTTTCTTAATTTGAACAATCAAAAGATCTTGAATATAGCACATTCATTGATTTGCTGGACAATTTAGTTCCTGTTAAACTAGAAGTATATGCTATATTAATTTGGGAAAATAATTTTGATTAATATATTGAAACAGTATTTCGTCTATGGACAGTAATGAGAAGATTTTGACGAAAATATTATGATAAAGTGATGCTTGCCTTGATATCTGATATTCAATACTGGATTTTTATTCAATACCCTATTATTAATGCTCTTAAATCTCAATTGCGAATCTTTGATGAATATTCAATTGAAAACTTTCATAGCTTAGTTCGAAGACATACATCTGAAAAAGTAACAACTGGCGAATGGTTGAGACGCAATTCAATTTTCATTGATTATCATTGAAATGATAAAGATTTTGCACAATCATTTGTACCTAACCGACCGTATCTATATACAAAAAAAAAACTGGATTTGATGGCAAAACAGTCAGTAATATTTCTTTTACAATTTTTGAAAATATTTGGAATAATCAGAAGAAAAAGCAGAAAGAAAGTATATAAACTACTTTGCGCTACTTACTAAAAAATTTCCTATTAGAGCATTACCAACAGGTTATCATTCCTCTCACTCACTAACCAGAACCAGCTTTGCGATTATAAAACCTGTAACAATAATATTTTGGGTAATAATGGGTATGTGCTTAACTGTAGACATGCATATCATCGGGAATGTTTTATGAATATGGGGTTAAAATGCACTTATTATTTTGAGTATTTTTACTACAACTATTGATGACTTACTTGACAAAGTCATATAATGAATGCGACATTGAAATTGAAAATGAATTTGATTCCTTACTTTCTGAGAATGATGCTTCACTCGACCGAGCATAGGGAATTGATGAAAATAAAGATATTTAAAAAGACTTGAGAATAATTTCAGGTATTAATTGTATTAATATAAAATAATTATGATTTACAACTTGCTTTCACTTAGCTTTTATTCTAAAAGTGAATTCATTTACACAAATGCAACAATAAAAAAAGTTTTACATTAGTACAATTTATGAAGTTTATTTTATTTTCGATAACATTTTGATAATATGTTAAGGGAAAAAAGCCAACCTAGAAAAACAGAAATTACGAATAAACATAAAAATTTAAAAAAATTTCGCTATCGAAACTTTAAAAAAAATGTCACGTGATTATAGCAATTATTATTGGATAATCGATCATTGTGAAATCTGACAATCAGTTTATATATATATCGTCGAAATTTTATATTTTCACATGCAAACTAAATATCTTATTTTCATAACGGTAACATAGAATTCAATAAATATTATGTAAAACAAAACGAAGCTTATTCAATTATTATTTGAAGAAGTTGGCAGTTATTTTACAATATCAGCCCAATTTGTTTATTATTTGACAGAAGTTAACAGTTATTTTACAATATCAACCCAATTTGTTTATTATTTGACAGAAGTTGGCAGTTATTTTACAATATCAACCCAATTTGTTTATTTGTTTTTGATGTTGCAAACTGATGCTGGATATGCGCTTTATTTGTTTCTCCCTTTAGATAATAATATTCTAATTCTAATAAGATAAAAAGTCTTCTGAATAATTATTCAATGAATAATATGAATCTGAATAGGATAGTGATATTCAAAAATGTTATAAAGGAATGTCGAATAAATCTGAATGCGGACGATTAAAATACACAAATATAAAGTAATTCCCGGTCGTGTGTAAGTGATACACATGACACATCATAATTTTTCGCATATAGTTTTTATGATCATGTGACCGAGAATCTTCGTTTACTTATTTTTCTGGGCGCATGATCAAAATATGCGAACATTATTAATGATAGTTAATCATGGATGATACGCTCCTACGGATTACACATTTTTTTTCATGGAGAGGATTTTCGTCAAGTTAAATAAAACTTTTACATGTAATCTCAACCGTAGTTACTAAACATTATGTCGAGAGCGTTGCAATATCAAATTAATAAAAACAATGTTTCGATAACTATTTTCTTTAAATAGACATAAATCTTTACAATTGTTGCATTATAATTCTTAACTATAAAATGTAATCGTAATTTTGACGTGAATTAATTAAACGGGCCAATAAATTAAGCTAAAATTTGGTAAAAATTATTTATAGCCTAATTTATTTTGCAAAAAAGTACTGTAGATATTAAAAAACATTTCAACACCTATAAAGGAATGAATTGCATCAATATTAGCTTTTGTAGAACGTTTAGTTGTCCGAAATGAGCATTTCGGATATCAAAATCGAAAAGTTCATTTTGGATATTATCCGAAGTAGTCATTTGAAAAATCCGAAGTAAGCATTTGGGATATCCCAAATGCGCATTCCGATTTGGGGATATCCGAAATGATCATTTCGCATGTGTAAATAAATTCTTTTTTGAAGATCGATAATCGAAAATCGTCGTTAGGTCCAATAATTTTTTATTGTTAATCTGACTTGGCTTTACCATCAGCCGAATTTAACTGATCAAGAATTATTTGATCTCGTAGAAACTTCACTTTTTTATTTAGAAGTAAATAATTAATTTTATATGCAAAAAGAAAATTTCGAAAATTATCTCTTAATCTTGAGGGATAAACAAAACATATCATAAATTAAAATAAAATCTAAATATGTTACAGATATTTTCGAAAATTTAAATTATTTCATAATAGCATGTGAAAATATAAATTTTCGAAGATATATATAAACACACACAGGAATCCGAATCAAAATTCATAAAAACATACTTACTACACGTAAAAAAAAAATTATTCGTCATGAAATCTTCCATTTTCATTGCAATCATCTTTGGCCTATTTATGCTCACGCTTATTGAAGGTAAATTTGAATATTCATGACAATTCATTTAAATTTTCAATAACCATATTTATACATCTTTGTTGGATGAAATCAAATATGCAGGTTATACTGTAGTGATACAGAACAAGGTAACGAAAGGCACGGATACTATGGTTGCTGCCACCTATGGAGATGAAGGTGGTAACTTTAATTGGTGGCATACGAACGATGCAATCGTCGAAAATTTTGCAGAAGCTCACAGTGGTTATAATATAACTATTCCTGATAATGTAACAACATATTGGCTCGTTTTCGGAGTAGACTGGTCTACTGAACAAGATAAATGGCGTGGCCCATTCACCAATAATGGAGATCAATGTTGGCACTTTCATGGTACTTTAGATGATTGGAAAATATATGGATGTTAACCTTTTATTCGCAGAGCGACAAATATGACAGTTCATTACTTATTTTTCAACATTTTTTAAAGTATTTTTTTCAATTCTTATATTATATTATTTGAATAATTTTATATGTCCATTCATTTTATTTAATTATTATAGTCATAACATTATAATTTCATATTTGGCTCCTCAATAATAATAATCCGAAGAAGCCCTTAGATCGATATAATTATTATCTTATTTTCTGCTGTACTTATTAATTTTATTTCATTTATCGATATCATAACTACCTTTAAATTTATTTGTTAAAAAATAAAAGATCCTATTTTTTTTGGAATTGTTACTTGAGATTAACAATTTTAAAATAATTAGTAAACATGATGAATAGTATTAAGAAATAAATAGAAGCTTACTTTCTAAATTATACGTAAATCTGGTTAATTCATAGCATTGGAATAATTTAAAATTGAAATAGTTTGCGAGAAAGAATTTGGTAAACATACCTAAATCGCAAATTTTAAAACAAGAATATGATAATTTTTGATTCATGACAAAGTTTTATACCTTACAAAAACAATTAAATATTTAAACTGATAAAATGAATAAAGATTTTTCTGTATGCCGGATCAAAACAATAATTTTAAAAAAATACGTGCAAATTCATATTTTATGTTCTCAAGGAATGGGTCAAGAAAACTTATGGAAACTTTATGGATATGGATTAACAAAATGTTCATCTGTCAAAATTTCTTTTATGATTTTATATAAGCTCAATATGTTTAACTACATTATTAACAACAATAAATTTAAGGACCCAAATGCGTTAATGTCAGAAATGAACCACTTCGGATAATATACCAAATGCTCACTTCGGATCATACCCAAAATGACCACCACTTCGCCAAAATAATCACTTCGAATTGTCTCGATTAGCCATTTCGGTTATCCCTTTCAGATGCTCAATATAGGGTTTGGAATCGATTCTATCAAAATCGATTTAATCGAAAAAAATCGTGTTTATTTTATTGGTGCAGTAAGTGTGGAATATAAGCGTAAAATCAAAGATACTTTGCTTATTAGAGAAAATGTAATAAAATAGAGTGATGATCAAAAAAATGCCTGTGACAAAAAATAAAAAATAGAAAAATAAAAAATATAATGAAAATAAAAACAAAATAAACTAAAAAATCTCATATCGTGAACCTTGATCAAAATAAAAATAAAAATAAATTAAAAATAATTAAAAAAAAGTTTCTGCAAAATCAACCCGAATTATACTATATCTATCTACTTTTTAGAATCAATTCAATCCCTAGCTCAATATGAATGACTATTTTACCATTTCGAATGATTCAAATGACAAATATATGCATCTTAATTAGTAATTCAACTTTTAGGATCATTTGAAATGTCATTTGTCCGAAATTACAATTCGTGAATGTCTTGGGATATTATCCGTAGTGGTCATTTGAGATCCGAAATGCTCTTTCGGACATTAACGAATTTGGGCTACAACAAGTCCAGTCTAACCAACTCTTTCATCTCTTTCGAGGGCTGCAACAAAAGTAAAGGCATCAATCACATTTTTTATATCCATACTGTATGATCTGCATATTTATCCCATCCAACCAATATATTAAATCATACACTTATTTCAAAGGGAGGAGGAAAACCGGTACGGTACGATACTTTCTATAATCGTACCGTACCGGGTTTCCTCCTCCCTGGTTTCTATATAATATTATTGATCGTCAAATCGTACTCAATAAAAAAAAAAAAAACGTAATTTCTAAAAAAAATAACAAAAATAATAATAATAATAATAATAATAAAAATAAAATCAAGTGATCGTAGGGAAAATCAGTATCGTCGGATCATATAAAATATATGATCATGCCTTACTGGTATTAATAATATTATAGAATCACATGTACAAATCTGCAAAACCGTACGATCTGCAAAACCGTACTGATCAGCAAAACCGTTTTCCTCATCCCATTTGTGATCATCCCATTTTCAAGGAAGATTTTTAATTAAAATGCATATATTTATATTATATTTACGAAATATTTATCAAAAATAAATAAATAAAAAACTATAATTAAATAGTGTTAACTCCATTGGTAGAAGAGGTAATATATAATAGTCGTCTAAATATGGTTTAATATATATAAGGACAAGAGTTTATTACTGCCTCAGCCGGCGCTCTTTAATAGAGCTTTAATCTACTATCTACCAAGGAAATTCCTTTTATATAATGAATATATAAAAGCTTTTGGAAGGGAAGTTCAAATTATGATGTCATAAATGAACCCGATTTGACATGTCGGTCGACAAGCCATCCCGCTATTTTCGGTTTTCTATTTTAATAATTTACTAAATTAAACATACAATTTAAATTGAAATTTTCGCTATAAGTCAAACTTTTTATTTTTACTAAATGATTCGCAAACCTTTTCTAAACTCTTGAACATTGACTATTTTTTTAAAAACAATTTATAGCTGGATTTCTTAATTTCGGAGCATCTGAAACTAAATGTAGCTTAAACATGTTATAGTGCACATTTAAATAAATTTATAAAACAAATTAAAAAATGAACATGTATTGATTGTTTGAAATATGAATAAATAATAAAAATGAGGAATTCGTGTTCTGCAAAGAAATAACCAAACTTGAAATTCACTGTGATGATTTAAAACAAACTTAATGTGAGCAGATTTCTAAAAAAAAAAAATTACAATTTAATTAATAAAGTAATTCCCTGTGTCAAATGACTATCTTCATAATTTTTCTCATATTGTTTTGATGATCATGTGACCGGACTTCGTTTACTATATTTTCGCATCAAAATCGTTAATGAATGACACGCTCCTACGAATTACATTTCATGGTGAGTGCATTTTCCCTTCAGGAAAAACCATATTATTCCTAACTCCCCCATGTAATAAATAATACTAAAAATAAGTCAAGTTAAATAAACTTTTTGGTAATATCGAATTAATAATACATAATGTTTCGATAACTATTTTAAATCTTTACAATTGTTACATTATAATACTGCACTATAAATGCAAAATACATCGTAATTTTGATGTCAATTAATTGAAAGGGCCAATATATTAGCTAAAATTTGGTAAAGTTTATTTATAAACTAATTTATTTTGCAAAAAGTACTGTAGATATGAAAAAAAACATTGCTATATCTATAAAGGAATGAATTGCATCAGTATTAGAACGGTAAGCTGAAATTGGATCTCATATAATTTTTTTTTTTTGAAATAATTTTTGCGTTGTGTAAATGTTGAAACCGAAATGCTTTAATGTCTGAAATGAGCATTTCGGATATCCCAAATCAATGCGCCTTTCATTTCGGACATTATCGCATTTGGGGGGTACAACATAACATAAATAAATTCTTTTTTGAAGATCGAAAATCGAAAATCGTTTCGTCAACCATTTTTTTATTGCTAATCTGTCTCGGCTTTACTATCAGCGGAATTTAACTGATCAAGAATATTTGTACTCGTAGAAACTTCACTTTTTTATTTATAATTATTAAGTTAAATAATTAATTTAATATGCAAAAGAAAATTAAAATAAAATCTAAATCACAGAAATTTTCGAAAATCTAAATTATTACTATTTTAATTTATTTGATTTTCTAGTCTTTTCAACAATTATTTAATTATTTGATTAATACAACCTTCAACTTAATTTATTTCATTTTTAAAGATTTACCTCAATACTAAGGTTCTAAAGATAAACTAATTATTATCACCTTATGAAATCGATAAAATAAAATATATTACCATTAATTTTATCCTTTTAAAAAATGAACAAATACAAAATTTATTAATTGATTGTTTGATAATTAATAAATTCTAATTTTTTGTCTCAAATAATTTTATATAGCCTGTTCTGTAAAGAAATAACCAAAGTGGAATGTTCACAGTGGTGATTTAAGTTTTCGTAATTATTGTGAGAATATTACTAATAAAAATTACATACTATGCTTTTAAATCTATTAATAAAGTAAAAAAATAAGTCAATGCGGATTATGCATAAGTTAATATTTTAAAAGATCATTAGTGACAATAATTATTCTTTGTTCTTTTCTAAAATAAGTTTAAGAGAATATATTCGCTCTAATATCAGAATTTACGCTATATCCAATTTTATATTATCACGTCGACATGAATGTTATTTAACGTTCCTGCGTTTTCACAAATAGACATACTGTATATTTAAATTTAATATATAAAATAATAAATATTTTTTTATTTATTAGGAAGACATTTCTTATTATTTAACACAATAAGTTATATTTTTAAGAAAAATTATTGATCCGGATGATGAAATTTTCTTTTTGTGCTTATTTTACTTAATTTGTCTTGTTTAATGTTTAAAATATTTTCTAACAAATTTCTTTAGATCTATTGTCTAATGGATATATCAAATCGAGTAATGTATTTATTTTAAATATTTTCATTAAAAATCAACGTTAAAATTTTATTATTATAAATTTAAAGTAAAAAATTATTCAGAATATCCATTTTACTCCTAACTTGTTCGCGGAGGTATAAATCCGGAGAATTTTTTAAACTTGATATACTCGCATCGATTATTGGAATGCTAGCTATTCCTGAGAAAATTCAATGCAATGGAATTATTTAAACCAATATCCAATTTTATCTAACATGCGGCATAAATTTCGGTGCTCTTAAGACATCTTTGAGGATTTTGATGCTCTCAACTTTTCATCTCTTGTATCTCGCAAATGGTTATCATCGTATCATACAATTTAAACGTCATGATTCATTTTTTATGCGTCTGGATAAATGGATTTTTTTATCATTAGTTGGTTTCATTCAATTACGTTACATGGATGGTAAGATATACAACAAAAAAGGGGAAGAAATAAATAATTACCATAGCTTAAAACGTGGTATCGTACCTCCAACTTTTGTAAGAAAGTTAAAATGATTGCTTGTTGCATAGCAACGAAAATTGGGCGAATGACAATCAATTATAAAATAGTATAGTATAATTGAAAGTTATACGAAAAAAAAATTTAATTAAACAAGTTTTCGCAATATAATTCTTCTTAATATTATTTTTATATCTATAAATTAAATAATTATAATTATATAGTTAGATTTGTTTATTGAAATATAAAAGCATAATTAAATCAAACAATAAATGCAATTAATGGATGAAGACTATTAAAACATTCTTACAAGAAAATACTTTTAAATTAAAATGTATACTAACAATATGGTAAATAGTTTATCTGATAATATAAACTTTACATAAAAAATATCTAAAATTATAACACATTATGGTCATATGTAACCGTAACATATATTTTATTATTGATCATAACTTTTTTTTGAGAATGATTTATTATATTTATTATTTTATTGTTTATTAGAATATTTGAATTAACTTTCCTAATAGTTGTTATCATTCTTAATTATATATATTTATTGAATATTTTTTACGATAATAAAAATTATTAAATTTACCTAATTAAACATTAAAAAAAAAGATTTATTTTTCATACAAAAATTTTTATTTAAAACAATTGAAATTCCAAACAAATTTATTTTTGACGAGATCGTGAAGCATCTTTTATGTGATACTTAATTCTTTAATATACACTATTAATATACAGTTTCTTTATAAAAATGAACGTTCAGAATTTTCCTTTTTAAATTTTGTTGTTATTGTTGTTCGTAAATGGCTTGGCATTCGTTCCTTTGATGATTATATTCATGAAATAAAGTTGAGATCTACAAAGGTTAAATAGGAATTATAATCTGGGTAGCTTTCGTGTTCCCGAATGTTGGATTTGTCTTATATAAAAAAGAAAAGTTAAAATATGTAAAATCTCACTTAAAATTTTCAACGATTTTATTAATAAAATTGTAATATAATTAGTTAATAATAAAAAGTATGTTTTTCATAATTTTGCAAAATTCTAATATGTTGTAAATGGGAAAAAACAAATAAAGCCTTTTTTCAACAAAATTTTACAATGTTAGCTAGAACTTTCTTGATCAAAAATATATTTGATGTGATGATGGTAAAATACAAATAATGCATTTCTTTTACTAATTATTGCATCCCGCCAATAATACCTAATACATGCTCTCTTTTTAGAGCAATGAATCTTTAACATAATGTTATAATTCTTCGATTGATTCGAAAATTGTTTTCTATCGGTAAAAATAACACGTTATTTATGTTATTTAATTAAACAAGAAGGGATTTTATGTTTTTAATAACGGAATAGAATGTCATAATAAATAAAGCTCTTTTACCATTCTTACTGGAACAGCGAAAGAATCGGTAAACACATTTTAATTTCGAACTTTAGTTATTCAACAATCAAACATGTCAAGCATGGCGGAAGGATATACAACCATAGTATATTAAATTTTTTAAAAAAAAATATTAATAAGTTTCAATCATAACGCTTGTTTAAAATCTATAAAATCTATTAGATTTCTGCTAATTTTATGTTTCGACGCCGCTTCTTTAGTAATATTTTTATATAATTACAGTATCAATCTTTGACGTATGACTGCATCACGAAAATCTGAACTGAAATTTTTACTTTGCTTTAATCGCTGCTTTTTGCCATTTTGACATGTTTAGATTTTTTTTTTGCATGAAGTCAGCTCCTAAATATAGCACTTACAGTGATATTATGACCTTATTAGGATTATTTGGATAACTTACATGAGGAAACGAAGTAATGTGTGAAGTTGATAGTTTAATTTAGGTAATAATAAGTCCAGTAATCAAATTTCCTAAAATATTCGACTGATTTGTAATCATTAACAATTTGACGCGTTTTGAATACTAAGTATAAAACTTCATGGTCATCTTCAGTTTTTTCTTATCCCTTCTTTGTTTAAGAGAAAATTTGAAATTTTTGATTTTAATTTCGAACACAAAATTATATTATTATATCGCGAAATATTCGTTTGCAGTTTTCACAAATTTTTTTCTTTTCCACTATTTTACAATTTGAAAAATATAACAATATTGACCAGAGTTTTTTGGCTTAGATATTTATATGGGAAGTATCTTTTTCTTTTCCCCTTTAAAGTCCCTCCCCTTATTAGAATAGTTTTCTTTAAAACTGTTTTTTATTTAACAATGAGATTTAGGTTTTCATGGTGATTAAGGATTTTAATAAGGTTTAAAGTTGAGAAGCATTTCATGTGGCATCTTTGTAGTCAAACTTAGGGTAGCGGTTTGGTGAATTGATGCAGATTACCCCCGTGAATTGCTATTCTGGCCCAAGTGTTGTTGTTTAACGTGTAGGCTCCTTTGATGTTATCAAAATTTTGTTGGGTTTTGCACATGAACACCTTCTTTGGTATCTGTTATGATCCTTCTTCTCACGTTTACCTTTTTATTTTATTCATTGTTAGTAAATTACAGTTTCCCTCTCCTGCCTTATATATTCTGGGTATTTTCCTCTAACATTTTTTCCTTCATTTATCTATTAGGTGGTGGAAATTTTATGCTAAAATCGCGTCTACTATATAATAATAAAGCAATATATAGGGTGGAGAAATTACATTAGGATTATGACATTTTAAGGGAAGTATCTTTTTCTTTTCCCCTTTAACTATCCCTCCACTTATTAGAATAGTTTTTATTTCAAACTGATTTTATTTAACAATGAGATTTAGGTTTTCATGTAGATCGAGGATCTTTATAAGGTTCAAATTGAAAGTATTTCATGTAGCATCTTTGTTATCAGACTTAGGGTAGCGGTTTGATGACATTGATGCAGATTACCCTCGTGAATTGCTATTCTGGCCCAAGAGTTGTTTAAAGTGTAGACTCCTTTGATGAATATCAAAAAATTGTTGGGTTTTGCACATGAACTCCTTCTTCGGGTAGCTTTTATGATCCTCCTTCTCAGATTTACCTTTTTTATTTTATTCATTGTTTAGAATTACAGTTTCCCTTTCCTGTCCGATATATTCTTAGTACTTTCTTCTAACTTTTTTTTCTCTTTATTATCTAATAGGTGACGGATTTGTTTTCTATAGATTAACATATCATTAGAGTTTTTACGTCGTCTAAGGCTTTGCTCGGGTTATCAATAATGAACGAGAAGTAATTATATCAATATGGCCATGTTTTCATAATAATATAGTTTCGAAACATACTATATAGGAAACCCATATGTACGAATCCTTGTCGAATTAGCCATATCTCATCAAGATACACCCACCCATAAATGCGAAAATTGTATGCTTTAACATTACGTGCGGTACGAGTCAGATACGATAAAAAGAATTACTGATCCATGACGTTTTATTTATAGTTTCTTCTCTAATATTTTCTTTTATATGTTTGGTCAAGTTATGGATTCGTTAAATACCAGCACCTTAGCAGGAGTATCTATTTTAGAATCCATTATAGTATTTCCTGTGATTAAGCATTTCGGAGCTTAAAAAATAATCATGGGCCCACCAGCGTTGAAAGAGCTACAATTGTCGTTGAAGTTACCGCTGATAATTTCATCATCGATTTATATAGAATCTATCAAGTCGTTTTAATAAACAACCGTAGTTAATAATTAATTTAATCAAGTACTTGGAGATTTATATTATATAATCTTTAAAAAGATTTTTTACATATCCATTCACTATTTATTGCAATAATAAAGTGTGATAAGTTTGTTTTTGCTTTGATTCGTTGACTCATTTATTAAAGATAAACCTGATGTGAAAACACAAATACTTTCTTTATTAATACACTTTTATTTCGATCAGAAATGTTTGAGCAAATACAGGGCGCATATCGCAACTTCAAGTTACTTTACAAATCTACCCATGTACCAGTTGGTGATGATCGAATTCAACACTTGGAATTTACGAGAGATTTAGCTGAAAAATTTTAATAAATTGTATAAAACTTTACCACAAACTATCCTCGGTATATAAATAAAAATTTATTAACTTTATTTTTTGTTTTTATTATTTTTTTCTCACGATTGTTATTACTTTTCTATTTTTTGATTAGTTCCAGCGAATCGTGTTCTATCACTTAAAGATCCTTTGAAAAAGATGTCAAAATCGAATCCACTCGAACTTTCTAGAATAAATTTGACAGATTCACCCGAGAATATTTCACAAAAAAATAAACCACTACAGATTCGCAAGAAGGAATTTCATATTCGCCTGATGCACGTCCCTGAATTTCCAATTTAATATTTATTTCAGTTTACGGGTTTAACCATCGAACAAGTTGTAAATGAATATAAAAATAGCGTTAATAAAATTTAAAGAGTCGGTTGTTAATGTGATCGTACAGGATTTACAACCGATTCCAAAATTAAAAAAGAGGAAGATACGTGAATTATAAACGATCAATTCTATTAACTTAAATGGAATCTCAATCTTTAAACGATTAATTTATCTCGATACTGATATATTGATTAACCATTTCGACCTGGTATGATGGAAAAGGTTGGGATTAAGACCGACTGAAAAGTTAAAAACTTAATTTATGTAAGATTAACCGGTTTTGGTCAAAAAGGTATTATTTTTTTAAAGGGTAACAATCAAAATTTTAACACTTGAACAAAAATTTACATGAAATTTATTTTTATTTTTATTTTTTTGGAGGGAACAGGTAAATTTTCTAATATGGCGGGACATGATATTAAATACCTAAGTACCTTTTTTCTTTTTTACTCTTTTGTTTTACTTTTAAATAAAAATATTGTATTTTATCTTAACCTTCATAGCTTCTTGGAAGAAAGAATGAAAATCCCGTGTTTCCACTAAACATTCTAGGGTTTTATTTATTTTTTTTTCTTTGCTAAAATCAAAAAGCAAAAGGTTTCCTTATTAATTGAGTTCAATAAAAATAAATAGCTGATTTTGCTGAGGGGGTATGATAGTCGTATTGGTATTTTATTAGCATTGATTGAAAGATCAAAATCGGGAAAAGGTCAAGTCATTTACGTTGCAATGGTATTTATACAGTACACATATGTGAAATATTTTATTAATGAATTAATCATAATTTTTTTTATGTTTCAAATGATGTAGTCAAACATTTGGCAACTTTCACTCAATTAATGAAGCTAATGAATCAGTTATGGACTGAACCCAGGAGAGAAAATATGCTTGACGGAGGTGCTCATTTTACAAAGTTATAAAACCAAGGACAATAAATATATGGACGTGTAGGATATTTTTATCTATATATATTCTTCTTTATAATGTTGATTTACTCATAACTTTTTTTCCTTCATGATTATGCGGTTCTATTGAACCGCAATTTATGAAGAATTATTAGATTTAGATGCAAATACATTAACATCCCATTAGACTATTCGAAATGGAATGAAATTGAAAGAATTGCTTACAAATACATTTATGACTAAAATACAAGAAGAATGGAATCAAGTATTTTATGGTAATGATGCATGTTACACCTGTTTATGGATTAAGTGCCTGCTCCCAAATTATACGAATTCCTGGTACTAATAAATGATTCCTTGAATCCAGGTAAGCATGGAGAAGAAAATTTAAAAGAATACGTTTATAGTAAACATGGGATTAAAGAATTTTCGATGAGAGATATCGTGTGTGGATTAAATGTTAAAAAAAGTTTATTGTAAATTATTATCCACGTTTTTTTTTCAATTCGAGTCGCACAAGTGAAGTTTGTTAAATCCTTCCTTCATGTGAAACACGGAATTTCTTTTGCGTTTGTGCATTTAATTAATCCTATTGAATTTCCCTTATGAATTTGGGTAGTTCATTTGTCCACTAAAATACGAACAAAGAATTAAAGTTGAGAAACATAGTTTTTTTATAAAAAAAAAAAAACTTTTTTTTTCTATATTACAGTATATAAATAAAGAATTCAATCTTATTTTTTTTAAAATTAAAAAAATAATTAAAATAAAATAAAATAAAAATGAATAAAATGAATAAAAGAAAATTGAATACTGCCGTTGATACAGATGTTGATTTTGTTGAGAAAACAGTTTCACCTCTTGATGGTGTAGAATTAATTACTCACGTTGCTGAGACAGCATCATCAGTTGTTATCCCTTTCGAACAATTCCTTCCGCTTGTTAAAAAAGTAACCGATATTCTTAATAAAGTTTATAGATTTATATATGACAGCCCAACATAATGAAAATATAACCAAAACTTTGGTGGAACGAATTATTGCAGCAAGCTCCGCAGTTGAAATGTTACAAGCAAGGGAAGATTATTTACTTTAAAACATTATACAAATTTACAAAGATTAGTTCAAGTTCTTCAAAAAATGAAAAAATATATTGAAGGAATCACACAATATAATACTATACAAAAATTTTTGGGGCTAAATTAATCGAAAAACAACTTAAAGAATTACGTAAGGATTATGATAGCAGCATTACCTTATTAAGTTTTACCTTAACGGTTGATTTTAAGAATAATTCGGAAAAAGAAGATAAAATTTTAAAGGAAGACATTGAAGAACTTCTAAAGTTTCAAGCAGCTTTAGCAGAAAGTATTGAAGTAGTGGGTAAGAAAATAAGTCATGTGGACGAAACAATCTCTGGAGCAAGTGACAAAGTGAACTTGGTTATTAAGAAAGTCAGTGAAATGCAAATCATTTGATGAATAACAATAACCCAAAGAATGAAAAACAAAATCAAAACAGAATTGATACTACAGTATCTTTAATGAACCCCTACTTCCATTCGGAGATTATGAAGAAGCTAATGAGCCACCTCGAAGTGATAGACTAAGAAAATATGTCTATGTAAAAACTAAAGAAGATGTCGCTTTTAAACGTGTGGATAAAGGAAATTATAATACAGTTAAAAATCAAGTCACAATTCTCAAAAAGCTAAAAGATTGTCAAAATATTATTCATTTCTATCGCCTTACTAAAAATGATAAAGATGATTTCTATTTAGTAACCGAATGGGCAGAATATAAAAATTTACGTGAATATATTACTTCAAATGGGCAAAATATCGAGGTGAAATTGAGAATTAAATTTGCTTATGATATCGCTAAAGGGTTAAATTTCCTTAATTCTGTCAAGGTAATAAATAAAATCCAAAATTTTAATGAATATGTTCAAATTTTCAATTTCAAATATTAAAAAATTTTTTTTTTTCACCCTATAGATCGTTCACCGAGATATAAGATCAAAAAATATCGTAATTACATATAATGAAATTGCAAAGATTACAAATTTTAAATTTAGTAGGATCATAACGCAGCGCAGCTATTAGTAATATATTCGTAAATAATGAAACTACTGTATATACTGCTCCTGAACTGTTAAAAAAAATTGTAGAGTTAGTAGAAAAAAACGAGAATAATAAACGAAATACAGAAGAGGAAGCAAAAAAAAATATGATACCAAATGTGAAAATTACAGTTTTGGTATTTTTCTTTGGGAAATTGGTGAATGTAGAATTCCGTATGAGGATATTAGCGATTTTTTAGAAATTACCAGACTAGTAATAAGTGGACATCGATAACTATTTACACCCAGTATCGATATCCCAGTAAAATATAATGCTCTCGTAAATAAAGCTGTCGACCAAAATCCAGGTCTGAGACCTATATTAGTTCAAGATATCTTTAATAATTATATTAAACACACCGTAAGCCGTTCCGGTACTTTGAACAGCGACACTATTGCGGCAACAGATGAAGATTTTGTTATTGATTTCAATAGTATTAATTAGATGAGCCTTGATAGAGCAATTGAAGAACACAAAAAAGACCGTGTGGATAAACGTACATTATGAAAGTGTTTCGATAATTATGCTAAAATGGGTAATCCAAGTGCAAAATATTGTAAAGCTTTTTATATCTTAAAAGAGTATTCTGACCTTACTTGTTCAAAAGTGAAAAATATAAAATTGCTGCTGAATTTTACAAAGAAGCTGCAGATTATGGGGATGAATATCCTGACGCGCAACTTCTTCGTTATGCGACATTGGTTATGCAAGGAAAAGGTGTTGAATCAAATACGGAAGAGGCTTTGAACTATTTTGTTAAAGCAGCTAAAAATGATCATCTGGTGGCTATGTTTAATGTTTCTACCTATTATTTCTCTCAAAGTGATGTAGAATTAGGAAGATATTATATGATGATGCCGCTAGTAAAAATTATGAGCAAGCAATTAGGTATTGCAAAGATAACAGCATCACGTATGAGATCTGATCTGATAAAATTCAGGTCAACCAATTAAATCAAACAAAATTAATTATTTAAAAAAATTTTTTGGTCTATTATTTTTGAAACTTCATTAATTTTATTTATTATACTTTCTTTTCATATTCTAATAAAGTTGCTTGTATAATTACTTGTAATATATTCTAATCAAAAAATTAAATTTTAAATAATAAACATTTTTGCAATTACTTTGACTAAAATTATTTTTAATTTTTTTTTTTTATTCATTCAATTAATTCAAAGAGATATCTAAGACTTTAGTCAAAGAAAATCAACTTTGATTATATAAGTAAAGTTGTTCAGCAGGTTCAAAAATATATGACCTTAAAATTTTATTATAATTGAATTAATATTTATAAGGTATGAATGATTTTTATAATTGTATTTTCTCATGAAAAAATTTTATTTTATTTTTATTTATTCAGTGATTAAAAAACCATTTAAGAATTTTGATCAAATAAAGTTAATAGTGATCATATACTGAAAAGTATCAAAAGTATTGCATAGTTTTATTTTTAGTAATAAAATTTGTTTTTATTAAGACCGCAGTCAGTTTTTTTTATATTCAGAATTATATGTATCAATATTTAGTATTTCCTCCTTTGGCAGCCTGAATTCTATTTGGTATTGATCACACTAAGTCACGATACACTTTTTGCGGAATTGCTTCCCAAATTCTTTTACCACCTTTTTAAGTTCACGAATACTTGAAGGCTAAGGATTGCAGTTTCGAATTTCTATTAAAACTGCAGCCCACAAGTTCTCAATTGGATTAATATCAGGACTTTGAGTAAGCACTCCTATATTTTGGGAATGCTGAAATACTTGTGCAACCTTTGATATGTGAACTGTTACATTGTCTTCCTGAAAAATGATTTTTTTTTGCTTTCTGAGAAAATGCTTTGAGTATGAGAACTGCATAAGTAGAAAGTACCTTTTTATATACATTTCCAGTCACTGAACCTTCAAGTGGAACAATAGGACCTAATTTTAAAAAGGAATACATGCTTAAAACATCCTTTGAGAAGGATGTTTTACTGTTGGTGCAATGCAACCTTCATGAAATTCCTCTTCTAGTTTTCTTCACACTCTTGCCCATCCAGATTTTAAAACTGTGAAAATGTAAACTCATCTGTCCAGACTATTTTTTTTCAGTCTTCTACAGCCATGTCTTCTTTGTATTACCTATGCAAGTTGTTTGGATTGTTGATTGCTGAAATGAATTTGAGGAATACAGGAATGCACATTTTTCTTATAAAGTGCAAGACAAATTGTTATTTTCAGCAGAAAAATTATCAGTAATTTCTGATAGATTTTTCGTCTTAGTTCCTTATTAGAATTTCATCTTTAATCTTTGCCTTTTTTGACTGTCAATCAAGCATGATCGACCTGATCATTTTTTGGAAGGCTCTCCTGATAAGTTGGCAAGAAATCTTGTAACTGTTGTTCTATAACATCCTATAGCTTTTGCAATCTGTGACCCAATTTTTTGGCTGTAATAATGCCTCCCTTTTGTGTAGAAGTTAATTCTTTGGCGAGATCCATTATGCGCAAGATTGAAAATGATAGAGATTTTCAAATCAGATTTTACAATCTATAATGTATTAAATCAAAACAATTAACAAAATCCTATTTAGGCAATAAATAGCAAATATGTTTCCGCTTTTTTGCTTCTTATTAAATTACTCTGTAATTATAGATTGCTGATATGGTATAAAAATTACATGGGCAGTTATATATTAACAATTTATTAAATCTGTTAAATTTCGACCATGCAATATTTTTGGTATCCCCCTCGGTAAGTAAATTATTTAGTGAGTTTGAATATATATATATATAAATTTTTATAATTATAAAGTTATACAATTATTTTAACAGTTCTTTGACTTGCAAACTTATTATAACTGCAATTTTAATTATATATTAATCATTTTAAAATTTTACTAAAATAAAAAATGTATCAATGTATCAATATATTTTATATTTTTTTTTAAAAAATTTTTAAGTTTCATATTTATTATATATATTCATTATATTATTTTTAAAATTACATAATATAAAAATCAGGTTAGATTAGGTCAAATGTATATTTAATTCATATAATTTTATGTCTAATATAATCTGATACTATGATAACGAATAATAAATTTTGTAAGTTGAAATGAATGATTATATTTGATATAGATTTTTAATGGAATTTAATATTTATAACTTTCCGTAAAATTTCATATTCAAGTCCTGACGCGAACTGGACCATTCAGAATTTTCTTGATTTTATGAAAGTATTCAATAAATTTATTTATTATTATTTCTTTAGAATTCGTATTGAAAAATCATAATTTTTAGCCAATACCATTGAAAAATATAAAAAATAAGCATAATAATTCGTAAATTCAACAAATTTACAATTCAGTATGCTCATTATACTTCAGAATAGTTCGTAAATGATTCTTCAAAAATCTCGAATTTCGTTTAACCTATCAACGACTTTTCCATTAATCATACTTGCAAGCAATAACTATTCGGTTTTTAAATGGCAAATGGAAAAAAATATATTTTAGTTGTTAAACTTATTTCCTTTCACTAATTCAATAATTTAACAAAATTTCAATATGATGTTAGCCGCAAAATTGATATGTCTTAAGATTATCGTTTAAGATATATTTTATTTTTCATTTATTTATTTATTTTATTATATTTTTAATTAACGTATCGTATCTAAGTATTAGTATAGAATTTGTATGACCTGTAGTCGGACTTTGAGTCGTCATGTTCCCTTTAACTACTTTAACTCTCAAATAAAATATTATTTCTGAAATGTTAATTCATTATTCATATTTTTATTAAAAAAAAGTTTATCGACATAAATTTAATACTAGTGCTTAAAAATTTCAATAATTTCAAATTTACGATAATAAACTATACAGATCAACCTAACCATTTTTCAATATTTGAAATACTTCATAATCTTCTACTACTGGGTAATGTTCTCCTTCCATGTCTCTTATCTTTTTTTCATACTTATCTAACTTACAAGAAATATGACTATAAATATTAGAATTGAACTGCCTTATTGATAATGAAAGATCATCATCACCAAACGCGGGACCATAATTTGCATCATACAATAATGCATGACCCATATCATTTACATGGCTTGAAATTGAATCTTTGAGATTATACTTATTCTTAAAAGAAAATATGAAACTATATTTAGTATGACCATATTCGCCATTGGATTTCCATATTGAAGGATAATATCCTCCGAGAATTTCTTCTGTCCCATTTACTTTAATGAATGTGACTGTATTAGGTATATTATCGCATAAATCATGAAATGTACAAGGAAAAAATCCATCCCGACTTCCTCTTAATATTAATTTTGATTCATATGGTAAGTACATTTCTCTTGTATAAGAAAATTTGCTACCAATATCCACTTTATCGATCCACCTTGAGATTATCGAAGCAATATTTAAATTAACAATTTTCGAGTCTAGCAAATCATCAATAATTCCATATCTAGGGGATAAAATACCATCACTTGGTTCATGATCCGGAATCAAATAAGATTTTAATAAATCCTCATAAAGTTGATGATTCAAGAGCTTTTTATAAGGACGAACTTACTGAAAGAAATCTTTCGAGGATAAGCTAAAAAATCTGATCAAAGGTAAACATCGGTTTAAAGTTTTTCCCATTATTTTGAAATCATCGTCTGACCAAGTTAAAGGATCAGAAACGAGAGTGGGATTTTTTTCAAGGCCCCACTTTAATACATGATCCCAAACTTCTACTTCCTTCATTCGTAAATCATCTCTTTTGATAAGAGTGATTAACAACTTTTCAGGAATTGAAACAAAATCAAGTGATTTAAATACTTTTTCAGGTGATTTTGCCATAATATCAGTACACAATTCTTGAAGTCTCAACAAAGTTTTGGATTGAAAACTTATATTATAAGTAAGCTTAAAATGTTGTTCAATCAATTTATCTTTTTTTTCTATTATATAATTTTGTAAAAATTCAACTAATTCTTGAAGAAGTAGCTCATCAGCAGCTGCCAATACCTTTAAAATATCTGAAAATTCTTTATTCAATGAAATGACTCCACCATAGATGTACCTATATGTTTCAAACAAAACATGTTATGTTTTGTAAATTAGTAAGGATTTAAATATAAAAAAAAGAGAATGAATGGGTCGTTTGTTATTAAAATCATATGATCCGAACATGATTTTAATGGCGAACCTCCAATATCATGATTATTTTAACATAAACTCACTTCAAAATAATCTGGAAGGATTTCGGCGAGATATTTGGTAATTTAACATGAGCCAGGGTACTGTCATTATTGATTCTATTGAGAAACAAAATTCGTCGCAAATATGGAGAACGGTAGCACAAAATATCATGTGTGCACGAAATATTTTCACATTAGGATCCTTTCCAACTTCAATTTTAATGTCATCCTCTAATATTTCAATATAATTTTGACTTAATTTAGGAAAAAATTGCGCTGACGTAATAATTTTATTTTGAAAGTGATAAATTTGGAGAATGAGAAGATTAATTAAAAAAAAAAAAGAGGTTGATCAATGACAAAGACTTTATATAGAATTTGGCCAATTTTCCGAACCAATCAGAAATGCACACGGATTTGATAAAAAATAAAAACTGAACTGAACTCTCATTACTACATGACCAAATTTAATGGCATATTTAAAATATTAGATTTAATTTAATAAATTTTTGGAAAATTGTATATAGAGTGAGACTTTCTTTATATTTGAAATAAAAAGCATCAAAGCTATGTACTTTTTCGATAAATACAAAGAGGGAGACAATAAAATGTTAACTTCTTTTAATAATAGTTTAAACATTGTTTTTGTTTTTTGATGATAAATTTTTTTATTTTCTTAAGCTTAATTTCATGGTCAATTTAAAATTTAAATAAACTTAAGGCATTATTTTCGATGTTTTGTATTGTTGTGACGAAAATTTGTTAATTTTGACGTAAAAAATGATAAATGCGACAAATCTTTTTTAGTAAAAAATATTATTAGTCATTATAACTGTTCTCATATTTTTTAATTATTTGTTTTCACGATCATTAATAACTAAAAGTTGATAGGTTATAAAAATTATTAAATTTACTTAAACAAACATTAAAAAAGCTTTATTTTTCAATAAAAAAATTTCAAAATTCCAATCAAATTATTTTCTTTGCCCTTGAAATTTAAATTTTGTTGTTCGCGTAATTTGGATGATGATATTCAAATTAATAATGGTTTTTTTGGCTTGTAAAACTTGTAACAAATTGAAATTTCATAAAGTGTAACATTTTAAATAATTCTTAATATTGTTTTAATTTTCGTCTGATGAATAAAATATTAATGATAGCGTTACGGTCACAAAATCACGTATCTCGATGATCCAACTTTTCAGAAACTTCAATTTCAATGAAAACCAAACAATTTATTTATAAAAGAAAGAATACATATTTATTGAAGAAATTTACGAGACCGTGAAGCATCTTTTAAATACTGTACATATATGTGATGCTTAATTCTTTAATATACACTATTAATATGCAGTATCCATATAAAAATGAACGTTCAGAACCAAAATAGTTCGTCACACTTGATAATAAGACAATCCATTTCCTTTTTAATTTTTGTTGTTATTGTTGTTCGTAAATGGCTTGGCATTCGTTTCTTTGACGATTATAAATTTGAGATCTACAAGGGTTAAATTAATCGTTGATGAAGCTTACCGTTTAAAGGCTTGCTGGATACACGTGTTGCTAAAAAAAAACTTTCGCATATGATCAACATTGGAACTAATATTACACAAATGATTTGATCGAATATCACATTGAAAAGATGCGAGTTTAATTTATTATCTAAGGGAAAAACTTTGTTTAAATTTTAAGCTTACAAAGAATCTTTGTCGTTAAAGGAAGCATGTGTTTTTTTTATTTTCCAAATGCTACCAATAATATTGCTGCCTAATATTAACTTTATTCAAGTGACTTATCCCTTTTTTTAAAAAAAATTCAAATACGCAAATTTATTTGATAAACTGCTAAATCACAAATTTATTCATTATTTTATTATTTCTTTACAACTGTTCGATAAATTAGCCACACAATAATTTCAAAAAAATTTAATATTAAGAAATCTATATGAATCAATAATAATAATAATTATAAGTATAACTTTTACTAATAAAGTATTTCTCGAAATTTACGAATTTAATTGTTAGTTTGTCGAATCTGAATAAATCTGAACCGATTAATCGGTCAAATTCGAATTATCTTTGGTTAGTGTCAATAGATGGCCTTAATTAATATATGATTGGTCCATCAAAACATATGGAGAAGTATGCTATGAAAATCTGGTTCCGTAAATTCTATTTCTTGTTAACAATAAAAATCTTAAATTAAGATCAAAGAATTCTCAGGATCCTGATTTTCCTCCATATGTCCATATTTTTTACTTGATATTTATGATTATCGGCCAATCCAATAAAATTTGAAAAATAAACAATGTTTAGTCTTGGAATTTCAGAGATTTTCTAATGATCTTTCCAAATACGTCCTTTATCAAATTAGTCTTACATAACATAAATCAATAATTGGACTTGTTGATCTAACCGATCATTTTACGAACAGTATCGTATATAAAATGCAGGTAAATTCACCATTAGATTCGACATCATACAACATTCCAATATCTTTCTTTATTACCTCCTTACATTCTACATTCCTTTTCATTCCGTACCCCCCACCCTTACATCAATACCTCATTACATTCATAACGCTCAATAAAAAAAAATGGTTAAAATTATCGAAAGAACATTTTTACTCCTTTTGTTTATTGAAATCATATTTTTTGAAATTACTTGTTCAAAAAATTTAAATGTTATTCCAAATAATAAAGGGCTTAAACCTTCAAAAAATCTTCGTGGTTTTTACAAACAGCCAAGTATCAAATCTCAAGTTGGAGGGTATCATCAAGCAGAAGTTTATTTTAAGACCAAAGTTCCTTCATTAAATCTTGATCAAAGTGGAGTAACCGATATCGATTGTTATGATGATGATAAAATTACATTCCGAAGACATGATGTTAAAAAAATTCATCAATGGCCTGATAAAGTTATTTTAATGATCTCTCATAAATGGAAATGTTTTGGTAAATCCACAACACAATTTTTTATGGTAAAAGATAAAAAGGTAGATGTCAAGAATAACAAAGTAACTTTTATCACGGAAAGTTGTGATATTCAAGATTGGTCTGAAGAATTTTATCTTGATGTTTCATGGGAAAATGTAAAACAAAATAATCTTTACAAAAGGTCCAAACTTCCAAAAATTGACACATCAAATACGTTCAGTTTAAATGTTTTATTTGATGAAGCGAATGGAAAAACATCAAAACCGGATATTTCACTTGCAGAAATCTCAAAGGCCAAAGTACTTTGCGCAAATTGTTTTATGACCGGTAAAGCTACTGTTTCATTGAGAATTGCAGCTAAATTTGGTTTTTTCTCTGGATTTAAATTGACTGATGCATCAATTGCTCTTGATGGAAATGTTAAATTAAACATGGATCTTGCCATAGAAGGTGCGGCCGAAACCGATTCCAGTAAAACACTGTTAACTTTGCCGATATCGGGTATTGGTATACCAGGTATATTTAATCTAGGACCTTCAATTGATCTAGTTTCTAAAACTGGAATAGCTGCCGGTGCAAATGCAACGATAAATTTCGGTGGGGATATTAATTTACCAAACTTTCATGCAAAGGCCACATTTGTAAAATTTCCACCAACCTTTGAACAATCTGGATTTAATCCTGATGTTAATTTACATAAACCTAATCTTGACATCGGCACTCAACCTAAAGTATCATTTTCCGCTGCTTTAAAACCACGACTTGCTTTTGGTCTTAGCGTATTAAAAGATCGGCTTGTAAAAAAGAAAGTTGGAATTGAGTTAGTTGGACAACTTGACACTAGTATTACATTTGGTGAAACAAGTAAATGTAATACTGATGATGATCGTCTTGAATCCAATCTTAATGGTAATTTAGGTTTTTTCATCAACGATGATAATTTTCCTATTTTCGAATTTCCTTCTAAAGATTTAATAAATAAATGTATATAGAAAGAAAGCATTGAGATATTTTATTTTTGATTGGTTATTGATTTCATTTTATCAATTTCCACTTTGTAATTTTATTTATCTTTGATATAATTTGCGGAACGGGAGGGATAAAGGATTGGATTTTCATTTAACATTAATATATTTGTACAAAACCTTATTTTCTTCTTTATATATCGTAAATAAGTTATTTAATATTTTGTATATTTTAATTATCAATATCCGTTATAATAATAAATATTTTATTTAATATTGTATCATTTGAAAATTTTTATAATTATTTCATAACTATAAACATTAACTTAACTACGGTAGCTTGCCTTCATGTATTACTCAATAATTTGTGTTACCTCCAATTTACGTAAGAGAGGTACTGTAATTAAATAAAGATTATAGTTTTAGTTTATGTAATTGCGATGTAACGAAAATAGCATGTAAATCGATTTTTGGCGAAATAAAATAATAAAGTTTTTATTTGAAGTAAATAAAGAAATATTTTAATTATAAAGTGTTAAATGAATACAGAAAATGCACTATTACGGCTTCCGCCGGCGCTCTGTAATAGGCTCAAAGAGAAAAGAACTATCTAAAACTAAGTTGTTCAAATTCTATCGTAAACTAAGAGCGAAACGAAGCATTTTATATAAAATTCCGTCTTTTAGATTTGCTACGGCATTCTTTGGAATTATCAGGAGGCTGGCGGCTTGGATGACGGAAATGCCAATTAATTGATATATGATGTCAAAAGTGGTCATTTTGACATATATCTTGCCAAGGAAGCCGTATTGTCCCAAAAGGTAAATCTTTTATAATTATAATATGCTTTATAACATATAGCATTGATTTGATTAAGTTTTCACAGCTTTAATGCAACGTCCGATTGATCATTTTTTATTAGTGTGAATTTGAGAACGATTTGATAATCATAAGATCATCTGATTCACATATATTTGAAAACTGCGATAGAAAAATTAACATTTTCTTTTTTAATAGGATTTACTTTATTTCCATAAGTATGGATTCAAATGATACTTTAAAATATCAAGAAAAAAAGTTTTACTTCTTATATAAGTAAGTAAATAGATAGTTAATTATTTGTTTTATTTAGTGCTAAATCATAAAATATCACTTAGGTAATTTAAATAATAAAAAAAGTATAAAGAATCCATTATCATAAACTTAGAAGTAAATATGCAAACTGATCAATTTAAAAATATGTTAGAACCAGGGGTGTTTGATAAGGTTAATGTCAATTTGGTGTAATGTATTTTGATATTTAGAGAGCATTCATGATTTTTAGATGTTAGAAATAATAAATTTGATATTAAAAAACTTAACTTATAGTCTATATAATTGCAAATATAATAATATATTTAGCCGTTAACAAAAAATACATCAAAATCAGCATGGTTCTAATAGGCTATGTTGTTATCTTTGCAATACTTAATTGCGTGCTCATATTTTTTACTAGCGGACATTCTCATGTAATATTTTCCTAATTCTATATTACCTTGAGAGGAGTAATAAACAGAGACATTATACATAGCCACCACATGACCATTTTTAGCTGCTTTAAAAAAATAGTTCAAAACCTCTTCCGTATTTGATTCAACACCTTTTCCTTGCATAACCAATGTCGCATAACGAAATTGCGCGTCAGGATATTCATCCCCATAATCTGCAGCTTCTTTGTAAAGCTCAGCAGCAATTTTATATTTTTCACTTTTTGAACAAGTAAGGTCAGAATAATCTTTTAAGATATAATAAGCTTTCCAATATTTTGCACCTGGATTACCCATTTTAGCATAATTATCGAAACACTTATATAATGTAATTTTATCCATACTGTCTTTTTTGTGTTCTTTAATTGCTCTATCAAGGCTCATCAAATTAATACTATCCAAATTAATACTATCGTAATTAATAACACAATCTTCTTCTGTTGCCGCAATAGTGTTGCTACTCAGAGTACCGGAACGGCTTACGGTGTGTTTAGTATAATTATTAAAGATATCTTGAAGATCCGTCAACATTTTTGCGAATATAGGTCTTAGACCTGGATTTTGATCGACAGTTTTATTTACGAGAGATTTATATTTTTCTGGGATGTCGGTACCAAGTGTAAAGGGTTCTCGATCTCCACGTATTACTAGTCTGGTAATTTTTAAAAAGTCACTTATATCCGCATACGGAATTCTACATTCAGCAATTTCCCAAAGAAGAATACCAAAACTGTAAACTTCACATTTGGTATCATATTTTCTTTTTATTGCAATTCGTTTATTATTCTCGTTTTTTTCTGCTACCTCTGTAATTCTTTTTAACATTTCAGGAGCAGTATATACAAGATTTTCTATATTTACGGATAGATTACTAGTAGCTGCGTTATGATCTCTACTAAATTTAAAATTTATAATCTTTGCAATTTCATTATATGTAATTACGATATTTTTTGATCTAATATCTCGGTGAACGATCTATAGGATGAAAAAAAAATTTTTTTTAATATTTGAAAATTTGAACATATTCAATAAAATTTAAATTTTATTTATTACCTTGACAGAATTAAGGAAATTTAACCCTTTAGCGATATCATAAGCAAATTTAATTCTCAATTTCATCTCGATATTTTGCCTATTTGAAGTAATATATTCACGTAAATTTTTATATTCTGCCCATTCGGTTACTAAATAAAAATCATCTTTATCATCTT